ATGTGATGAGAATGTTTTAAGAAAAAGACAAATGCTCGGATGGTCAAGTTATACAGATCATATCCAACACTCGAGGATAGCGTGATATACACCACATTCCTTTTTCATCTTATCTGTGAAATGGTTAAAAATAGTTAGGTATTTTTGGTTAGAAGACGAACATTCAGATGGTCGAGATATACACCTCGTATCCAAACACTTGGAGATAGCGTGATAAATACCACGTTCCTTTTTTGTCCAATTTATTAAGAAAATGAGATTGATATTTGTCGCATATCAAAAAATACGACCTTACGAGTGAGTCACACGCTCGCGGATGACTAATAGAGTTGCAACAAAATTTTATTTATTCCCAAAAAGGGAAAGAGAAAATATCGATAAAACCTCTAAAATAATGACAATGATATGGTCGTTGCAACCAATCGGGTTCGTGAATCAATTATGCAAGGGGAAGGTGTTAGCACCCCTCACCTCTATTATACTCAACGGGAACCATTTAGTTAATTTTGCGCATAAGTGTTAGCTTAAATTTTTTTGCTTTCCTCAAGTTATTAAAATTTCAAAGAGAAAAAAAAGAGGTTGCAAAATGGTCTTTTTATTAATGTGTCTGACAAGATTGTGCGTCTTACTCCTACGTATCTCCGGGTGTGATAGAGAACTCAGGGCTACGTAATTCTGGGTAGAAAATGTTTATTTGTAAGTCGATTTTATCAAAAGTTATTCTGTCGTAATCGAATGAAAAACATTTCTTACCCAAAATAGTTAGAGGATTAGGTGTTTTCATCACAACAGAATGAATTTTTGTATCAACATTCATGGGAAAATGTCACTTAGCTCACTCATACATATGTGGATGAGACATTATTGTCATCGTCTCGAGACGAAACATCTTTCGTTGAAAAGAGTTTGAAGGTATGAAAGTCAAAAGGCAAAAGATTGGATGTGTTGGATATATTTTTGGATCGGAAGATGAGTATTTAGATTTGTAAGCTATTACAGCTTGGGCCTAATACTCGAGACTATGGTTGGACATTACACTCAAGTAGTATTTTTCTTCACATTTATTGTGAAAGAATGATGCATTTTGAGTTTTTGTAGGAAGACAAGTATTTGGACTTGCAAGCTAATAAAGTTTGGGTCTAATACTTGAGACTATGATTGGACATTACACCCAAGTAGTCTTTTACTTCCATTATTTTTGAAAATGGTCAAAGTATTTAAGTTAGTCATTTTGATTTTTATTTGAGAAAATAGCTTGATGTTGGATAAGCGTTTTCAATTTGCACGGCGAAGTAAAGTGAAATGACGATGTTCTAGAAATGATTGAAATGGATGACATATTTATTTAAGAAAAGGTTTGGTGTGGACCAAGTTTGACTTTTGTTTCAAAATGATTGATTTCATTAAATTTGGAAAACGTCCTTGATGTTGATCAAGGTTTTTTAATTCTAAAAAATATTAATTTTATTTTTGACCAACTATTCAATTAGTTCATTTAAGTAACTAACTAAAGACAAAAAAAAACAAAAGAAAATAAATAAATAAATATTCAATCAAAGGAATAGGGATACATTTGTTCATTTTAAAGAAAAAATAAATAAAAATGAAAATAAAACACAATATAAACTAGCAAATTAAATTAAATAATTGGAATAATAAATAAAAAATAGAAAACAAAATAGTGGTGCAACTTTAAAAAGGAGGGGCCAATCAGTAACACAACCAAGCCCAAAAGCAAATAGACCCAATCAACAAACTGGTCAACGCTTGGCGGCTCGATGGTCAACCCTATTCCAGGAGCCTTCTGATTAGCAATCAATGGCGTATGATGCACTCATTGGCTAACAATGCAGTGCCATCAGATTAGCATGCCTTAATAGTCAATGAAAACCGATGATCCAAAATCCATGGCCGATAATAACCAATATAAACTGTCCACACTGGATTATTTTGAATCCTCACCAATCAGAACCAGGAAGTTGGACACTTATTATTGTTTCAGATTAAAACAAAAACTAGTAACGAATTAAATAAAACTGAATAAATTTAAACAACAAAAAAAAGTTTAAAAAAATAGAAAAAGAATAAAAACGATCTGAAGATTTTGAATGCAAAACCCTACAGACCGTTAAGAAGTGTTTACAAAATGGTTGAGGATTTATACCTGGCCGGAGTTAGGTGATTTCCGACGATAATCTCCAGAAACCGGCGAAGTAAAAAATGTTCAGGTGATGTGATTTTCCACTTTTTTGTTCGTTTTTGGTCTTGGTACTTCTTCTACTCCCTTTTGCGTTTGCTTCCTGCTTCTATTGTGTTCAATGGCTTGTGCTTAAGCAACTTGATGTAGTGATGGAAACAGAGTTCTCTGCTCAACAATGAGGCTGGAGTTTCATCACTATGAAGAAGAAACTCTCAAGGTCATGCGAGTTCAAACAGTTGAGTTTGCAAAAAAAGTTTAATGGTGAAATTGTATGGCCCTCAGTGTATTTATCTGCTGCCTCCTCCCTGCTCTAGATTTTTGTAGGAACATTACATAGGATAGGATTTAGGGTGAATGGTAAGTGTGTGAGTGATGAGAGAAATCGTGTGAGTTGAATGAGTTGAACTTTGGATAAGATCAAGTGTGAAATAAATTGATTTGTGAGATGTAAATAATCTCACAAATAATGGGATTCAAAAGTGAGTGGAAAAGAATTTCTATTGTTCATGTGAATGATTTTTCTGTGAAATTAGCTTTAGGCTTGACAGTTACTTATGCATTAACTCTTCTGGTGTGTTATTGTGGCAAGAAATTTTGTTGTGATTCCAATTCCATTATAACTGTCTATTATTGCTATAATTTTCAACTGTAACTTGTACTTTTTGATCAATGAATAAAACAAAATCAATTCTTCTCAAATCAGTTTCTTCTCCACTTATTTATCTTGAATGAGTGGTAATGTATAGAATATGAAACTGGTGAATGAATTTTGGTTTGAATTTGTGTGTTTTCCAAGATGAGAATTTTGGATTAGTGAATCAAACCACATGAAGGTTGGTTTTGCCTTGATTTTGAAAATGGTAATGACTTATGATGATAATGATGATGATGATTGAATTAAATAGTCTTACTTTTGATCATATTTCTCTTTTTTCTTTTAGAAGCCAATATTTCCAATGGCAATGGCTCATGGTCAAAAAAAGAATGGCTTGATGATGGGGAAGGATATAAGGGTGACATAGAAGTTACTTGGAATGGAGCGTACTCGAAAGCACTGGCGGAGCCAGAAATTTTTTGAAGTCTGGGCAAATATTTATAATACCTAAAGTTTAGTTGCCATCTCATATGATTTTCTGAAGCTAATAGTAATTTATCAAACACATGATTCGTAAGAAATAGAAATGAAAAAGAAAAAGAAACTTGGTTGAGGCAATTTACCGAACACTTAGTGTGCAAGTTGCAAAACGGTGGAAACGACAACAATTTGATACCGATTCGTAAACCACAACATGCAACAACAACAATCATCAACAACAACAATAATTCAACATCATGAAATGAAAGAATTGAAGCGAGAAATTGATTAAAGCATCCCTAAACTTATCACAAATTAGTCACTCCTCAATATGCAATGTCGTAGGATGGCTCCATTCTTCCCAAGCAGAATTCCCAAATTAACTCCCCAATATGCAATGAACAGACATTTTTTATAATTATTTCTTCTGTTTCCTGTTTTGTGTTCTTTCCCAACTATATTCTCATCATATTATTAAGAAAGATTTACAACTACATCCAAACTATATGTGCTTCATACAGCACAAATGTAAGAACAAACTTCATTTATGAAAAAACCCGGATACAATAATCGAATATATATGAGCATTGTCTATCCATATGTTTGTAGATTCAAGTCCAGAATGAGAATCACTAACTTGATAATGTCATCATTTCTCCTCAAAGTCAACATCAATGATGTTAGGGTCTAATTTAGATGCTGAGTTATTTCTACCAACTCTTGTAAAGAAATCTCCTTTACTTTTAGGTCGCCACACAATGTTGCCACAACTCGAACATCGAACTATTTGGTTCTTGTAACCTGCAAACTGCGTCTTGCAAGCTGGACAAGAGCCCTGTCCAATTACAGAAGTAACATACTTTAGAGCCAATTTCAAAGCAAATGGTGTTTAAAATATAATTGAAAAATTGAAATGATCATGAACTATAACACAACTAAAAATTAACTACACGCGCTTGATTACCATAAATGACAAACAAAATATTTTAATCCAATGAGCTTAAGAATGTGCTAAATATTTTAATCCAATAAGCTTCAAATCCAACTTATATTAGCTTTGCACGGTGAGTATTGCTAAACTAACATAAAATTAATTGAATATACAAAGTAGCTCAGTTTTGAATAAAACTAATGAAAACCAATTGAACAAACAAAACTTGATTTGCAAACCTATTTGAATATGCAAAAACATATGCATAGACATCAAGTTATCTATGATAGTATATCTTAATCCTCTCCCATTTCGTTTATAGTCCATAACACATGATATTATAGCATGAAAATGTGAAGTTGTGTACATTTAAAAGCATCAAAAGCAGAGGAAATAACAACAGCTGTGTGACACACCTTTGTGGTTTTCCCATCATAAGCATCCCTCCATTTTCCTCCAATGAGGCCCTGTGTTCTCAACAACCCAGAACTGTTAAGCTGGGAAGCATATAAATTCTTAGTAATTTATCGAACACATGCTTCGTATGAAACAAAAAAGAAAAAGGAAAAGAAACTTGGTTGAGGCAATTTACCGAACACTTAGTGTGCAAGTTGCAAAACGGTGGAAACGACAACAATTCGATACTGACTCGTAAACCACAACCTGCAACATACCCATCATAAATTGATAAATTGGACGAATGAAAATGAAGTGTAAAAACAAACAGGGCTCATGAATCCCTAATCAGAATCCTCATTCTCCCTTATATCCAAAAGATTCCCTAACCTGAAAGGTCATTGAAATGAAAAAGATGGCAGAGTGCCCGGTACATCCGGGTTGAATCCAATTCCATACTTTCCCTTTGGAAGAATCGGAGGACCAGTTTGGCGAGTTGTGAGGATATTTTTCAGCACATATGTAGTGCCAGCCTCAGCTATCTCAGCTTCCATTTTTCCGGGTTCCTAACAGAATCAAAAACATAGTCTAAGAAAATGGAATTGACAAAATATCATTCACTATTTATATTAATAAGAATATGGAAAAGTAGTAAAGAAACGGAAAGGACCTGAAATATGCAGATATAATAATCTTCACCATAAGCAGCACGCAAGCCATCTACGATTCTGAATTTAGGGTTTCTACGGAGGAAGGGAACACTGAGACACACATAGGCTTTGATTCTTTCTTGTCGGCGGTTGAGCCCGGGCAGCTGCCCTACCTGGCCGGGCGCTGGCTCCGCCTCTGCTCGAAAGTGAAGAAAAGATTGACCTGGAGCAAGTTGAAGACTTAACATAGTTGAAGACTTAGAGTCACTTTGGTAAGACTAGAAAAAGAACTTTTAACTTATAGCTTTTAGTTTTTCCGTCCATTTTGATTAAAAAAATATGTTTGATAATTGTCTTTTAACTTTTAGTTTATAGCTTTTTAACTAACTTTTAGGTTTTTTTTCAAAAACTATTTAAAGTAATTTTTGAGCTTGTAGCTTTTAACTTATGACTTTTTATTTCAATTATACCCTTATTTTATATATATATATATATATATATATATATATATATATATATATATATATATATATATATATATATATATATATATATATATATATATATATATATATATATATATATATATATATATATATATATATATATATATATATATATATATATATATATATATATATATATATATATATATATATATATATATATATATATATATATATATATATATATATATATATATATATATATATAATTTATTATTAAAAATTGATTTTAAAAGATTGAATTTATGAAGATTTTGAAGAATGTTATTGAAGAATTAATTTAGAAATTATATAATTTATTTAGAAATTGTGTTTATAATTCTCAAGTTATGAGAATCAATGAAATCAACAAAGGTGAAGAAAATTCAGAATATTTTTACAGTTGTGAGATATTGGATTGAACTCTAGTATGGTCGAATGATAGCTTCTAGTTCGACAGAAATTAAGCATGAGGTCGAAGTTTGTTCACATGTTGTTATCGGAGTAATGCGTGTTGTAGTCGAAGTTTGTTCTAACATGTATTAGTCAATATTGCTAGGTTTGTTAGCATGTTGAATTGGGTCTTGCTTGTAAGCCCAATGGTTTAAGTTAGTTTGTATCCTAAGTTAGCTTGCAATGAGTAATTGTTAAAAAATCCATTAAGTTAGTGTGTTATTTTTCTTATAAATAAGATGTTAGTCTCTCATCTTGGTATAAGAAAAAATAGGAAGATAAAATCTTAATTTCAAGAGAGAGATTATTTTGTTATTCTTGTATACTTGTAATTGTGTTATAAGAGTAAGGAAAAAATAACAGTTTTTAACCAATCCTTGTTGTTTTACCTTGTTATCTTTATTAATCGTAACCCTTGTGTGTTTCTTGATCATAAAGAAACCGTTTATATTTTGTTTCAAGACATCCGATTAACAACAACAATTTTATTTTAAAATGTTAGACAATAAACTTATTTTTGTTAGTATTTTAGATTAATATAACTAAATTCAAAATTACAATGTTATTATTTCACGTATTTTAAAATTAGGAGAAAAACTATATTTTACGAAAGAATGAGTTAACCAGACCAAGAATTGTAGTTATTAGGATTACTTTTACTTTTATGTTCTTATAAATGACTTTATAAAATACATCTATTTCATGTATGGTTTACTGGTTCTTTTATTCATTCAATTTTGTTGTCAATATATTCATACTAAATAACAAAGCTCATAAAACTTATATACAAATTTATATATTTTGATGATATCTTCAATTTTTCATATATATTAATATTAAAATTGTTTCGCATGTTGTTATTAATATATTTATTTTTATCGAATAAAATAAAATTTAATAATATAATACAATAAAATAATGAAATCACAAATTTCATAATTAAAAATATCTCTTTTGGTCATTTTTTAATTATCAGCTAGTGTAACAACTAATTTACCAAACACCAAATTAACTTATCAATTACCAGCTATAAGCTATAAGCTATAAACTATCAACTACCAGCTATCCGCTAACAGCTAATAGATATCAACTATAACCTAGTTTTACCAATCAGAGCCTTAACAATATGCCTTAGTTCTCTTTAGGTGTTTTTGCTTATGTGCATTAGACTTTTGACTTATAAACGTACAAAAACTCAAAAATGTACAAAAGTTCAAAGTTATGCCAAAATATCAATTTGTTTTTTTGTTTTATTTTAGTTCCTTTTATAATGCAATGCAACAAAAAAAAGGTTCAAAGTGTTTGACTCTTAAAACGAATGTGTATTTGAATTCAAACCTTTGACATGAGCTTAACATGACCTTGTTACGTGAATTTGAAAACAAATTTGTCCTTAGCAAAAGGTTTCATCGGAAAGAAAAAAAATTATGAAAAGATTTTTTCCCCAAATAATGACAAAGTGGATATTTGGACCACTTATATGACTCCAAATTGTCCACAAATGCAACTAAACCTCATAAGAATTACATTCACATAAACACCTAATTGAACTTAAACATGAATGATACCACACGTTTTTTGGACCTTGGATATACGATCTGGCTATGTAAATGATCAGATGAAAATTCAAAATGATGACTTTTCTCTATTATAAACGTATACAAGCTATTGGGGTTTTATGACTAAATGCAATGGTCATAAGATAATGATGCAAATGAGATGCAAATGAAAATGAATCAATGTATATGAAAATACTTTTTGGGGGGCAAGATTTTAGGGTATGACAGTTGACCATATTTAAATAGCTTTTACAGATAACATGAGTGATAGTGATCCACATAGAATCGCTAAGGTATTTAAATACAGAAGACCCAAATTTTTCCCTTTGATCCACTGAAATGATATGTTATGCTATGAACTAAAAGGACTTTTTTTGTTCGTTGAGGATATAATGTGATATGACATGAATCCTAGCATGATGTTTTATGATGAATGAAAGGATCAATGTTGGACATATGGGGAATAGCGGAAATATGTGGTAATGGTGGTCCACATGGAATGAAAAGGATACCGAGGGTGAGAGATTCACTAGGGATAGCAATTATGCTAGAGAATTTATTAGGGAATATTCAAAAATGAAATTTATCAACTAGTTAGAGATGACATGCAAGCACTTTAGAATACACCTGAGAGTTTTGGAGATTTTTAATAAGAAATTCATCCAATAATTTTTTTTTGAGATTCCTAAGAAGGAATTCATTCAAGGCAAAACTTCGGGAGTTTTCTAATAAGAAAACTATCCATGCAAAACTTTGGAGATTCTTCAGAAAGAAATCCCAAGACAAAAAAAAATATTGGAGTTTTCTAACAAGAAAAACATTCAATCTTTTTGGGAATTCCTTTAAACAAAAGAGTCACACATACAACTTTCTAGGAAACATCAGGACAAACATAGGAAAAATCTATGAATGTACCAAACAAAGTTGGACTTTATTGTAGGCAACGGTAATACACTAGTTCTAACAGAGGGTGCCAAAAACAAACTGACTTTTGAAAATGCCAATAAAAAGTTGGACTTTTGAAAATTTCAATAATAATTGAACTTTGAAAAGGATGCCAATAAGAATTGGACTTTGAAAGGATGCCAATAAAAATTGGACTTTCGGGTCAAGGGATAAAAATCAACAACAAAACCTGGGTCAATGCAGATGAGCGCAAAGTACACCTTGGGCTATGCATGATTTGGAGTTTTCTTTTATGCATGATATATGAATGATCATGATATGGAAATACTGAAGCTATACAGACTGAGAGTTTACAAAGGTTGTTTATGGAGGCTTTGATTCCTTAACACCGAGAACTAAACCAAGTATTTTGTGATAGATGCATTCAAAGGAGAATCTATCAAGCTTGATAGTTTGTAACTAGCCTAGGGGATCCTTTTAAAGGATTGATCAGTTGTGCTCCATGGAGACCCCTACAATGGTAATCTAAGAGCAATTTTGCAACTCTGTGTCTTTTTGTCCTAAGTCGCTCTTACGGGTTTTCAACTTAGTGAGCTATCATTTTTTTTATATTTCCCTAACCGCTCTTTCGGGTTTTCAATCCACCGGGATACCATTTTTTCCTAAGTCACCTTTTTAGGTTTTCGACTTAGCGGGCTTTTTGTTACGCATAGTGTTTTTTGACAACATCAGAGTTCACGGGGTGTGGGAACTCTTCGCCATCCATAGTTATAAGAATCGGGGCTCCTCTAGAGAAGGCTTTCTTTACAACATATGGGCCTTCTTAATTAGGAGTCCACTTCTCGCATGAGTCCTTGTGTACGAGCAAGATCTCCTTCTCTGAGTTCTCAAGGACAAGATTTCTTGTCAAACGTCCTTTTGAGGTGTTTCTAGTATAGTTGTCCATGGCATATAGTGTTCATACGCTTCTCTTCGATGATATCCAGTTTGTCAAATTCGTTCTGGATCCACTTAGCTTCCACTAGCTTGGTCTCCATCGAGATGCACATTGAGGGAATCTCTACTTCGATTGGGAAAACTTCTTCCATCCCATATACCGAGGAGAATGGGGTTGCCCTGTTGAAGTGCGAACTAACGTTTGGTATCCATACAGTGCAAAAGGTAGCATTTCGTGTTAATCCTTATAGGTTTTCATTATCTTCTATAGGATTTTCTTGATGTTTTTATTGGCCGTTTCAACAGCGCCATTCATCTTTGGACAATAAGGAGAAGAGTTATAGTGCTCAATTTTGAAGTCTCGCATAACTCTTTCATTTTCTTATTGTTCGGGTTCAACCCATTATCAGTGACGATCTTGCTAGGAACTTCATAACAGTAGATAATCTCCTTTTTGATAAATCAGGCGACCACTTGCTTTGTCACGTTGGTATAGGAAGCAACTTCTACCCATTTAGTGAAGTAATCAATGGCAACTAGGATGAAGCGGTGACCATTGAAAGCTTTAGGCTCTATGAGACCAATCATATCAATGCCCCACATTGAAAAAAACCTAAGTCGATGTCAAAACGTTCAGCAGCGTTGGTGGCACATGCACTTTATCACCATAAATTTGGCATTTATGGCACTTCTGGGCATAACTAAAACAGTCAGATTCCATTGTCAACCAGTAATAACCAGCTCTTATAATTTTCTTCACCATGGTGTGCCCATTGGAATGGGTTCCTAAGGATCCTTCATGAATCTCTCTAACTAACATGTCTTCTTTGTGTCTATCTATGCATCTGAGCAGAACCATGCAGTGGTTTCTTTTATAGAGCACATTGTTGGCCAGGAAGAATTTAAATG